TGGGCGTTCCTTGAAGGCTAGTAGTTGTGAAGACACAGAGGCTAACGTGGCTGAGCCCGAACAGACGGAGAAAGCAGGAGGGAAAGGGAAGAGGAGGAGGACATTCAGAGCACAGAATGGGGACTAAAGTTCCAGAGCTAAGCCAAGATGACTGAGGAAACCCTAGGAGGTCATAGACAGCAGGCAGGGCCGTTCTGTGTGTCACAGGACAAGGAGAGGGGATCAGGGGTAAATACTTGAGGACACTATTTGCTTCCCACCGAAGACATTCAAGGTCATTTACAAAGTTTGAATTTATTTATGTTATGAACAGGTAATGCAGGATGGTTAAAAATGAGTCCGGGACTTTCCAAATTATTACTCAGACACTAGCTGCTGTATGAACCTCTCTCTCTCTCTCTCTCTCTCTCTCTCTCTCTCATCACATCTTTCTCAGCCTGGAGTGAAGGAAATTTTACATCACAAGTGACAATTATTTTGATGATAGGATGAGCCTCAGATGCATGTGTGGGGCCTGCCCTCTGTAAGAATATAGAAATAACTGTGCAAATTGGTGTTGGCTAATTTGATAGGACTTGATGTGCAAAGATTGAGAAGTCTTCAACCACACACTGGCCCCAGGCAGTCACCGTGACTGATCTTTTATCGGTCCTTCCAGAAATGCCACACGCCTGCTGCAAACATACACATCCCCTTTTAACACAGAGAGAGGCACATCCTACACCTTGTCCTGTGCTCTGCTTCTCCATTCATCGGTGTGGGGGGAGTGGTTGATATCAGTGTGTAAGGACCCTCTGCACCTGTCTGTGCAACTGTATATCCCTTCGTGGGGATGCCATAATCTCCCCATCCAGTTCCCTACTGGTGGGCACGTAGAATGTTCCCAGTCTTGAGTGAATAACCTTATACATAGCATGGGCTCCATGATGGCCAGGATTTTCTGGGCTTAATACTGCTGTTCCAAGTACCCCAGACACTGTGGGAGTACAGTTGACATTTATTCTTTTATATGTGTTCAGTACAATTTTCTTTAATGTTTATTTATTTTGGAGAGACAGAGACAGAGCGCGAGCGGGGGAGGGGCAGAGAGAGAAGGAAACACAGAATCCGAAGCAGGCTCCAGGCTCCAAGCTGTCAGCACAGAGCTCCATGTGGGGCTTCAACCCACGAACCTAGAGATCATGACCTGAGCTGAAGCAGACACTTAACTGACTGAGCCGCCCCTCTATGTGTTCACTCCAAATTCTAGGAAATGGACTTGCTGAGTTGAAGGATATACACATTCAGAATTTTGATAAGTATTATTAAAGCAGCTCTCACGGAGGCTGTACCAGTTCCCCACTGGTAATGTTGGGCGGGGCCTGCTTGCCTAAGTTCACAGTGTATGATTTCACTTTTGAATCTTTGATGGGTGAAGAGTCGCTTAATTTCCATTTCTCTTATTAAAGTAAAGCTGAACAACAGATTCTTTTAAAAAATTATTCAATTCAACAAGTATTTATGTATCCATTTCTAAGTGCTAGACAGTGTTCTAACTGCTAAGGGTATAGCAGTGCATGAAGGGATACCTGTCATTTGATTTAGGACCCACCCTAGACAGTCCAGAATGATCTCATTTCAAGACCCTTCATTAGTTGCATCTGCAAAGACCCTATTTCCAAATAAGATCACATTTACAGATTTCAGGGTAGGACATGGACAGTTCTTTCCGGGGGCTACCATATAACCCTATAGGGAGCAAAACTGCCGGGACCTTAGCACGGATCAAGGCTGTGCTACCAAACCGTAGTAGTAATTATTACATTACATACCACCGTGTGCTGAAGGGAAAAGAGAGAGAGAGAGAAGAAATAAAGAAAAGCTAATTCTTCCAAAGAATTTCCTGAGTTGGGGCACCTGGGTGGCTCGGACGACCGAGCGTCCAACTCATGGTTTTGGCTCAGGTCACGTTCTCACGGTTCATGGGATCTGGCCCCATGTTCGAGCTGACGGCATGGAGCCTGCTTGGGATTCTGTCTCCCTCTCTCTCTGTCCCTCCCCTGCTCATGCTCTCTCTCTCTCTCTCTCTCTCAAAATAAACTTAGAAAAAAGATAATTTTCTGAGTAAAGCAATAAAAGATGATGTGATCAAGACATTAATTAATTGAATTGAATCCATTAAATAAACATACTTTTATTTCTTTTTTTCTTCAATTTTTTATTAAAATTCTAGTTAGTTAACACACAGTGCAATATTGGTTTCAGAAGTAGAATTCTGTGGTTTATCACTTATGTAGAACACCCAGTGCCCATCACAGCAAGTGCCCTCCTTAATGCCCATCACCCACCCATATATATAAATGTATATATACACACACACACACACACATATGTATATATGTGTATATATATATATATATATATATCACATTTTCTTTATCCATTCATCAGTCATTAGACATTTGGGCTCATTCCATAGTTTGCCTATTGCAGATAATGCTGCTATAAATATGGGGGTGCATGTAACCCCTCAAATCTGTTTTTTTTTAATTTTTTTAACGTTTTATTTATTTTTGAGACAGAGAGAGACAGAGCATGAACGGGGGAGGGGCAGAGAGAGAGGGAGACACAGAATCGGAAGCAGGCTCCAGGCTCTGAGCCATCAGCCCAGAGCCTGACACAGGGCTCGAACTCACGGACCGCGAGATCGTGACCTGAGCCGAAGTCGGACGCTCAACCGACTGAGCCACCCAGGCGCCCCATGTATTTTCTTTAATCCTTTGGGTAAATACCTACTAGTGCAGTTGCTGGAACATAGGGTAGTTCTATTTTTAACTTTTTGAGGAACGTACACACTGTTCTCCCGAGCGGCTGCACCAGATTGCATTCCCACCAACTGTGCAGATTATTCCCCTTTTCTCCACATCCTCGCCCACACCTGTTGTTTCCTGTGTGGTTAATTTTAGCCATTCTGACAGGTGTGAGGTGGTATTTCATTGTAGTTTTGATTTCTATTTCCCTGATGAGAGTGATGTTGAGCATCTTTTCATGCACCTGTTAGCCATCTGGATGTCTTCTTTGGAAAAATGTCTATTCATGTCTTCTGCCCATTTCTTAGTTGGATTATTTGTTTTTTAGGAATAGGTCTTGGATAATAACCCTTTATCAGAAATGTCATTTGCAGGGGTGCCTGGGTGGCTCAGTCGGTTAAATGTCCGACTTCAGCTCAGGCCATGATCTCGCAATTTGTGAGTTTGAGCCCTGCATCGGGCTTTGCGCTGACAGCTCAGAGCCTGGAGCCTGCTCCGGATTCTGTGTCTCCCCTTATCTCTGCCCCTCCCATGCTCATGCTCTGTCTCTCTCTGTTTCTCAATAATAAATAAACTTTAAAAAATTAAAAAAAAAAGAAATGTCATTCGCAAATATCTTCTCCCATTCCATAGGCTGTCTTTTCGTTTTGTTGATTGTTTCCATTGCTGTGCAGAAGCTTTTTATCTTGATGAGATCCCAGTACATTTCTGCTTTCATCTCCCTTGCGTCCTGAAACATGTCTAGCAAGAAGTTGCTGTGGCTGAGGTCAAAGAGGTTGCTGCCTGTGTTCTCCTCTAGGATTTTGATGGTTTCCTGTAATAAACATATTTTTAATATTCTGTATCCTAGAATCCCAGGATTTCATAAAGGAGCTTTCAACCCCCTGACTACGGAGCTAGCAGTGAAATCGCTGGGTTTAGCACATAGCACTTCTACGGTACTCTTGAATCTTCACTTGGTAAGGACCCCATAAGGCCAAAAAATAAAAAGCAAATGATAATGTATGTGTGGTCTTGACCCAGCAATTTTGCTATGTGAAATTTATCCTGAGGCAATAAAGATAATTCTGCAGTCCTCAAAGGTGCAAGGGAAAGCCGTGGACAAGGACTTATCTGCTCAGCCACAGACAACATCCTGAAGCAATTAGAAAGGATTTAAGGGGGCACCTTGGTGGCTTAGACTCTTGATTTCGGCTCAGGGCATGATTGATGTGGGGAAACAAAGGCAGAAGGAAATGGCAGGTGAAATTAAATTTCCTTATAACCTGCAGCCCATTGGCAAATATTTGAGACAGGCAGAGTATAACATTTCTCCAGGAACTGTCTACTGTCTTGATGTTAACGCTTTGCTAGAGGGGAAAACAACCTTAACTTGACAATTAGCTAGGCCTCCAGTGTCCTGTGAGTCTTCTTTAGTATGTGAAAATCCCTTTGGAAACTTTCCCTTGCCTTTACCTCCCCAAACTCCCAAGTATATGATCACTCACTCCTCACAATCCCAGGGCAGCTCTTTTTTTTTTTTTTTTTTTGGAGAGAGAGACAGAGCATGAGCGGGGGAGGGGCAGAGAGAGAGAGAGGGAGACACAGAATCTGAAGCAGCCTCCAGGCTCTGAGCTGTCAGCACAGAGCCCTATGTGGGGCTCGAACCCACAAACCATGAGATCGTGACCTCAGCTGAAGTCAGACACTTAACCGACTGAGCCCCCCAGAGGCCCTGCCAGTGCAGCTCTTTCCGCCCGTAGGTCCTGTTCCTGTGCTTTAATAAAATCACCTTTTTGCATCAAAGATGGCTCATGAATTATTTCTTGGTTATTAGCTCTGGTCCCCCACCATTTCAGAACCCCTTCGGCGATCTCACAGTTTGTGAGCTTGAGCCCCGCATTAGGCTCTGCGCTGACGGTGCGGAGTCTGCTCGGGATTCTCTCTCTCCCTCTCCCTCTCTCAAAATATAAATAAATAAACTTAAAAAATCTATTGAAAAGGTATTTACCAAGGAGAAACCCGAAAGATGCACAGTGAAATATTAATAGTGTTTGTCTTGGGTATGATTGTGGGCAAGTCAGTGTTTCTTGGGCCCTTTAATGTTATTTGTCAATGCATGTGTGTCTACTATTATAATTGTGGGGGAACGTCCTTTCCATGTTTGAAATGAATATCTCACATCTTCCTATGCTGTGCCTGAGAAGCAGTGAGTGTGATGAGGTTTTGGAGTGATGGTAGGGTTCAGAGCTGACGGCCAAGGAAGAATTCTTGAAGGCGTCTTTGGTGCAAAAAGGTGATTTTATTAAAGCAGTGGGACAGGACCCGTGGGCAGAAACAGCTGTGCTCTAAGTGTGAGGGGTGAATGTTTATATATTATGGAGTTGGGGGAGATAAAGGCAAGAGGAATTTCCCAAAGGGATTTTCATATGTTAAAGGAGATTCATAAGATATGGGAGGCCTAGCTATTACCAAGCTAAGGTTGTTTTCCCTCTATAAGGCATTAACATTACGACAGGAGGGGGTTTCTGGGGAAGTGTTTTACCTGTATTTGCCTGAAATATTTATCAATGGGCTGCAGGTAGTAAAGAATTTTCACCTGCCATTTCCTTCTTACCTTTGTTCCCACATCGCTGTGGAGGGGAGGGTGATATTAGGGCTCCAGGAAACTGAATCTATAGGTTTCTGGATTAGGCTATGGATAAGATTGCCCCTCTCCTGTAACCTGCCAAGACGTATGTAAACTGAAGGGGACTCCTGTCCTGCAGGACTGTGATCTCAGTCAACATTTGATTTTCTCTCCTTTCATGTGTTTTGGTCAGCCTGAGTGTCCCAGGAATGTGACACACACCCCACCTGGTGATGGGGGGGTGGGTGCTGTCAGCTTGTACTTTGCCCTCAGCTTGCCTTATGCTCCCTCATCAGTGTGAGTGGTAGGGATCCACCCACATCCTTCCTTAGAGACCAATCCTTTTGGAAAGTGCACGCGGAAGCTCATATGGGCCATGGAGGTGAGGAAACACCCCCATGCCCTAGTGGAAGGAGCGTTCTGGGTGACAGGAGGTCTCCTCACTTGCATGTCCCCTCAGCAGGTCTCAGCCGGGCCTCAGCTCCAGACTGAGTACTAACAGGCACTCTGAAGCGTGGACACAGCACTCTGGACTTGCACACACAAGGGCCGAGTGAGCAGACGGTAACAGAACTGTGGCGTCTCTCAGGCCAGTTTTACAAATGGAGAAACTGAGCCTGAAGGTCTTCTTTGGTCCGTTTTCATTCTTGAGAGGTCCGGGAACTTACAGGAGAGGTTCTTATGAATTCTGCTTCCCCCTCGGCTTCCTGATTGAAAGAGTCCATCGCAGCACCAAACACCTTTGGCCAGCTTTTCCTGCAACCCAACAACCTGTAATGACAGGAATGTAGAATATTGGTGTCCTCACGGGGAACTGGGGGTGGGCACTGGCCCCGCACAAGGCTTACCTGCACAGATGTAGGAACACAGGACCTGACTCAGGCAAGCCTCAGGCCACAACGTGAGGACAGACAGCCGAGGCCTGGGGTTGGCACATGCTCAGTGTTTCTGAGCACAGCCCCCCACAGGTGGGTGCTGTTTCCAGGAGCTGGTAATTTGCATAAAGCTCTTTTAAAACATCAGCTGCCTAGATCAATTTTTTTACTGATTTCCAAGAGTATGGATTTGTTGTGTTTACATTTTGGAATTTGACAAGCATTAGGAAAACACGAATAAGTCTGATTTTATTCTAATTAAAATAATCAGGGGCACCTGGGGGGCTCAGTCAGTTAAGCATCTGACTTTTGATTTCACCTCAGGTCATGATCTCACCAGCCCCGATGACAGCACAGAGCCCGCTTGGGATTCTCTCTGTCTCTGTCTCTCTTTTTCTCTCTCAAAATCAATAAATGAACTTAAAAAAAAATAATCCAGGGCTCCATCCCTGTCAGCAGCTTGGGAAAATTAACAGAGCAAAGCTTTTCTCGGACTGACTCATGGCCAAGTGGAAATGATGTTCCCCCAATTTAATAAACTCCCCCTTCAAATAACCTAAAGGGTGCTTAAAACGGACAGCTCTTGTTGTGGTCTAGGGTCTGTCAGAGGCATGGCCAGGGTGGAGATGGGAAGGGGCCCAGCTACATGGGACGGGCTTCCTGACGGGGCACCAGCTCTTCCCCCCAGGCTTGTCTTAGTGTCTTCCCTGAGAATGAGTCTTTGCCTTTTTGTGAACCGGTCTGTTCTCTGCACTTTCTAGCCATTATAATTCACACCATCACACTTGGCCTACAGAGTGCAAAGGGTCTGGCAGAACCCCTTGTGGGGACTCTGTGGGTTCTGATTTCCTATTCCTGACCCACGCACCCAAGGCCCTGTTTTGTGTGTCTAAGTTGTTGTGCTAAGTGAGACCCGAGCAGTCAGCATGGCCCATGGGCAGATGGACAGTTCAAAGCAGGCTTCACTTTGAGGCAAAGAAGGTACACTTGCCAGAGGCAGGGTGGCCCTTGTGGAGCGCAGACACCTCTAGTGCTCCTGAGGCTGCTGGGGGTGGGGTAGGAGTGGACCACCTAATGGCCTCTCCTGCCCCCCAGGGCTTGGAGGAGTATCCCCAGGGCACTTGCTTTTGTGGATTCTTGTGCGGTGAAAGCCTTTTGGTCGTATCCCATCTGGATACGGGGCTGGACGTGGGGTTCAGGATCTGTAAGAGACTCGGTCTTGTTCCCAGTGTTTCCTGGCACCTTGGGCAATGTCAAGGAAACACTCATCTTCACTTTCTTTCTTCTGTTCTGGGCCCTTTCCATATAGACATTGGCATGAAAAGAGGCAGGGTCTCCGTATGCTGGACAGAAGTGCCAGGAAAAGGTGAGAAATCCAGGCATTGAGGACGCAAGGCAGATGCAGGAGGGAGGGAGCCAGCCTAGTTTGGGTTCTCTTTCTCAGGGATATCTCTTTCTCCCAATGCCTTGTCTTTGGGAAGGCAGAGGCTGAGGAGGAGGAATTATGTGGAGTGCAAACCCAGGAGGCTCTTCTCCCCCTTCCATTAGAGGGCTGGAGCCCCACCTGCCCATGTCTGCAGTTTAAGAGCTTAGGTTTGGGGATCAGACAGACCTGAGTTCTTTTCCTGTCTTTGCCATGTATTAGCTGTGTGTCCTTGGGCAAATCCCTTAACCTGCGAATGCCTGTCTCCTGTCTGTAAGCTGGAATGATATTCACGCCCCCTGCTCCTATGATAGATCATGTGTAAAGGACTTTATCAATGATCTGTGGCTCTGTGAGAGACCATCGCAAGACCTTAGTGGCTTAAAGTAACAGTGGTTTCCTTAGCCCATCATTCCTCCAGTGAGCCAGCCTCACTCCCACTCCTACATCACTGGCGTTTGGCTGGCAGCTGGACAGCCTGCGATGGCCTCATTCCCAGGTTCTGGTATTGGACCGGCTGCCCGCCAGGGACCGGGACTGTTGTTGGCTGGGCCCCCACCTTTCTTCCACGTAGCCTCATCCTCAGGTAGGCTGGCTCAGGTGTGTTCCTTGGGGAGCTCAGCGTTCCAAACTCTAAAGCACAAGCTCTTCTCAAGGCTCTGTTTGTATCATGTTACTCACGTCTCATTGGCTGTCCAGACCAAAGAGATGGAAATAGACTCCACCTCTCGACGGTGGGGGAGAACTTGCGGCCATATCTTGCAGCCCACTGCCCGGCTTGTGTCGCCCCCCCGTGGGGTTTTGTGGGCATTTATCTCACGGTGAGCAGTCCAGATCTGGGTTGGGCCTGCCAGCGGTTCCGCGGAGGGTCATCGCCTGCACACAGATTTGAAAGCGTGCCCTTTCCAGAAGTTTGGAAGACAATCCAGGAGTTGACAGCGGGGCGCTCTTCGAGGGCCTCCTGCATCACAAGAGGGCTCCATGGCTGACAGGGTGATATTGTGTGAAAACCTGGATGTTGAGCCTCAGCTGAAAGGTGATTCAGCTCTTCTAACCCTTTGGGAGAGGACAGAAAATACATATTGGTCTCTCCCCGCTGGTCCTGGCACGGAGCTCCTGAAACTCTTGTAAATTCCTAAGTGATAACAGTAGGAGCACCTTTTGTTCTGATGGGGTAACTTAGGTGGGCTCCTGCGTGGCTCGGCTGGTCACCAGAAAGACCAAGGAATGATTAGAGAAGCTTGTAATTTTCAGCTTGGTCCCCATCCTCTAGAGAGGGAAAAGGGGCTGGAAATGGAGCTAATGACCAATCACGCCTTCATGATGATTTTACTTCTGTAAAATCCCAAAAGTACAGTGTTGGGAGAGTTTCCAGGTTGGCGAACACAACAGTTGGAGGGAGATGTACCCCAATTCCATGAGGACAGATGGCCTGTGTTTGGGATTCCCCTGGACCTCACCCTGCGTAGCGGTTCATCTCACCTGTACCCTTTCTCACAGCCTTTAATGATCTGGTAACTGTGTTTACCTGACTTCTATGAGCCACTCTAGCAAATTAATCAAACCTGAGGAGGGGGTCGTGGGAACCCCGGATTTGTTGACAGAAGTTGTGGGAAATCTGGGGACCTACGGTTGGAAGTGGCATCTGAAGTGGGCGGTAAGCTGATAAGACAGAGCCCTTCACCTGTGGGATCTGATACTGTCCCCATAAATAGTGTCAGAATTTATTTGAATTGTAGTATACCCAGTTGGTGTCACAGTGAATTGCTTAGGGGGAAAATGCCCACACATTTGGGGGCCAGACCTGTCAGAAGTAGAGGAGATACTCAGGAGGAAGGGTTACATAGGAGGAAGAACCTATGGTTTTAATACTCAGGACAACCAAGTTGGTTTTTAGTTCACCCTTCAGAAGTCAGGGCTCAGGATACCCTCAAAGCATTTTCACTTATCACATATGCATAAACATGATTATATGGTAAAGTTTGTTTAAACAAATCTGTAAGTGCTCTTTCAATTCCAGGTGTTAAGAGAATCTTGTGTTATTGTTTGGCCCTTCCACAGTTCATCCTAAATAGAAACGAGCCAAGCATCACTCTACGCTCCCTCTGCCTGTTGTTCACCAGTGTGACAGCCCTATGGCCCTCTGTCCACTGCTGGTCCCCCGGCCCCACGGTGTGTGCAAACCAGGCTCCGAGGCCTCATTTCTAACCTTAAGCTGCCATAGGTTTAACTGAAAAAAAAAAAAAAAAAAATCTGTTTTGTAATCTTTATGAGATGGTCACAAGAGGAGACCGAAGAGGCTCAGGAAAAAACAAATTGCATTATATTCACAGGTCCTAGACACTGGAGGAATGGCAGGCTGTGAAAGGCCACACGAGGCAGCTCCAAGGTGCTAGGAGACAGAATAGTAAGGCTGATTTTGATAGAGATCAAGGTCTTTATCAGAGTTTTCCCATGAAAGTTAAGGCTGAGCAGGGTAAACCGCTACGATCGGCTAGTTTCAATAGTTTTGGTGGGCTGTGGGCTACAGCGGTGGCAGCTGCCCGGCAGCTGGCCAGGGTATGATGAAGGTAGCACACTATAGCCTCCTAGGATTGAGGCCAGACAGAGGAGGTGTGGCTCTGAGTTGGACAGTTTCTTAACAACGGCAGTCTCCTGTGGGCCCCCGGGCGGGGGGTGGGGGGGGCAGTCTCTCCCTAGCCAGAAAGGTTTTAAAATCTCAAAACATCATAACTTACAGAAAATAAATTATATAAATTATCAGTTGTGTGTGTATAAATATTTATTTATCCAGGAA